GTTGCAACCAGAGTCACGGAACGGATTAAGTTCGTAACTAGAGGTACCACTGTATTTGATTAATTTGCCCCTTTCTCATATTCCAAATTATAATTTGATTCTTACTTTGGAATTTACTTGCAGAGGATCCACACCAAGGTTTTCAGGAGTGACATGCAGTTTTATTTATTTATTTACTTATTTGTTATATTATCATATTTCTGAAGAACTCTTGGGGTCTCATGTTACACATTACTGTAAAATGTTACTGAAAACATTTACCTCAAATGCAGCACATGATTTGATTGGGTACAGGTAAATATTGGTGACTGTAATTTTCTTTCTACCATTTGGCACTTCTTCTACTGAATTACCAAGAACTTCAGGCATGCTAATTTCTGGATAACTCTTAGTCAGCTGCAGATTTTCTTCTGGTTTTTTCACTGATGTGAAGTGGTGACTTAGCTGTAAATTCTTGATTATCCTTTTCAGAGGCTGTTCATTTGCATTCTTCACATCATGAGTGTTGCTATCCTGTCTGGGAAATGATGTGATCTTTGGAACAATCTGTCTCTGTGATGAACACTTTACCAAGTTGCAGGCAGATAATCTAATACTTATAATGAATTTCAGAAAGGCTTGGGCATCTTCAAATGTAGACATATAGCCAAATGAAATTCTCACAGACCCAGTGGGATGTCCTTTGATCACATCTACGTCATCTCCGCACACATGACCAGCCTAGTTAAGAACAAAATACAAATATATTTTGTAAACTTTATTAAAATATGACATACTTTACTAAAATTACACCAGAAAGATTATCTATAAACATAGTCTGAATGTTTTAAAGGCATAGTTGATTTGGTGATTCCTCCTTCAGAATAAGAACCATCCTTACTTTATATAATTTCCTATAAAGTTGCATTCCTGAATATTCATGACCTGAAAAATAACCTCCAGAGAGACCTGCTTTGATAAACTGTTATGGAGGTTTGGACAACTGTGAATATTTATGTGTTCTTAAATGATAGAGGAAGGCAGAAGAGGACCAGCTATCTTTAACTGTACAGATCAATAGGGAAAACTTATTTGAGGAAGTAGCAGGAACTTTGAAATTAACTGACCATGAAATACTGGTGTACTTGATCTTAATAAAAACTGAAGCTGAATCTAGACAAATGCATATCTAAAGATTTCAAAAAAAGAGATTTTAATGACCTCAGAACAATGATGATAAGGATTATATTGTAATAATATGTAATAGTGATAATATAGAATGCGTATAGGATTCCATGTCAGGAGAAATTAGTGAGAAACATAGCTGGGTCAAAAAATAATTCTCACTGAGTGTTCACCAATGGTTCTACATCAACTGCAGCTGTTGTTTTATTGTAAACCTTGCTTATCACAAGGATCAGTCCTGGTACCTGTATTCCTCAATATTTCTATTAATCATTTGGATGAGGAGGTGCAGATGATACAAACATTAGGGGAGGTAGTTAATATCTTAGAAGTAACATTATGCAAACTTGACAAATTAAAGAGAAATGGGGTAAAAATAATTTGGGAAGCAAAAAGCTTAAGATTAACTTGCTTCAGAAGTTTAAATGTATGTATGTTTGTTTAGAATATATATTTAGCATTTAAATGCTGAGAAAGTAAACAATAGTTTTTTTATGGCTAATTTAAACCATGATTTTTTGTTATATTAAACCATGGTTTAAATAGAATGAACTTATAAAGAGTCTTGCATTACACATAAATTAGCAAATGGCATTTCCTTTTATGTTAATGATTTTTTATACTGTGGGACCTTATTGGGAATACTTGCTTGGAAACAGTGGGAAAATTAATTGAACATATGCAACGAGATCTCTATTTACTTTAGCTGGTAACACTGATATATTAACACATACAGACCTGGAGGTTCTTTTTGATGTCATCATGGCTAATCCCCAAGTGCTGCTGACAAGCTCCAATATTACAGAAACAACCTGTGCGCATATGGATGTTGTAGAGCCCAGCCAGTTTGTCCACCTTGTTTCAGAAAATTCCCCCCGCCCCCCAAAAAGAAAGATTCTTAACACAGGAACAAATAAATAAGGATTTTTTCTCTATCAGTTAAACAACTTTAATAATGTTCATGCAATATGAAGAAAATGCAATAATCCCAAATATTTCATTATCTGGCTAGGTAACATCTTCAGTGCTAACCTGGGATGAGGTTTGCTCTCTATTTATCTGCTGTGGCCTGCCTTGCCAGTGCTGGTGGAGGTGGGGGTTCTATTTTGCTCTTTTGGTAGTTCATTGTTCATATGTTGACTGCTTGATTGTGTGCCTGGTGGTGACCTTTGCTTATCTGGGTGATGATTGCTGGAGATGATTGCTGGTGACTGAATGCTGGTGAGGCAATCTTCTGGTCTTTTGTCTCTTTTGAATAATATGTAGATGCCTATCTCTATGTGTCTGTTAATTGCTGCCTTGTCTGAATACCAAGCTTCCAAGAATTCTCTTGCATGTTTGGATTTGGCTTGGTCTAAAATGCTGACAGTTTCCCAGTTAAAACTGTGGTTGTGTGTTGTGCACTTAAGGAATTTTCATCATGTCTTCTGACTGCTAGTTGGTGCTCATGGATGGGTTCTGCTAG